ACAACCAGATTTGCTGCATTAAGTGAGGCAAGGATTCAAGATGTAAGCCCTTAAATGCAAGTTGAGGGGGAGAGGGGGGGGGGGGACTCATCAGAATGTGGTAGCCAATGAATGATGACGGAGACTTGTGTTGCCTCCGAAACGTCGTGATTTTTATTGTTTTATTTTTATTAATTTCATTTTTTACCTACGTGACTTTACCGAAGGAACTAAGAGTATGTCAATGTCACTTGTCTGTAGGTGCATGCTTGTAGCGTGGAACCGGTCAAGTACGACGTCCCACAAACGTGCCATGAACACCATCTCTAAGGTGTCCAATTTAGCACGTAGTCCAGCGGCCTCAATTCGAGCATCTCTTGTCTCATTATCATCATTGCACACACCACAGAAGGCCTCTCTACTAGTGTGGGTGTAATTTCTCCACAGTGCCTTGGTTGACTCTGCCCGAGCCACTCCACCGAGTACTGGACAGCGATTTTAATCTCGGTCTGACATCTGTCTTCCGAAAGACTTTCCCCCATCTGTGTGTGGATGAAGAGCAAATTGTGCACAGTGACTGCAACATGTTAAAACAACTCGTCAGCTACTGGGCTACTGCCGTCTAAGGTGTTAACGCCGACTAAGTTGAGTGAATGCGCTGCGCAAGGCACAGACTCTATCAGAGGGTTTTTAAATCCTTTATATTAAGTTCACTTGCTTGCTTGCTTGCGCGCTTACGACCGTGCAAATCTTTCGGTCGTTTTCTAACCCACTCCCCGTGATCCAATCGAGCTGACATTTTGCACACAGACTCGTTGTGCGTGACAATTAATTTTGGTGAAAATTTTTTTTTCCAAATTTTCAACATTTTAGGAAAAAATAAATTATATTGAATTACCAATTGCTTAATGGTGGCAGGCAATCATCTGACCCATAGGTGGCAGCCATCTGAAGCCAGAGGACGAGAGGACTCTAGCCGCCACACATATAAAGGATTAATAGTGAAAAACTGTTTTTACGGGTAAAATTTTTGTTTTGTTTCAGACGGGCCTGTAGCCCATTGTATTTTCTTGACATGTTGCTTGCATTGTCATGTGACTGTGACCTCTACAGTTTGAGAGGTCCAACCCAAGGCCCTCCACCATCAAAGTCACACAGTCTGCTCAACTTTTACCAGTGTGGCTCTCAATTGGCTCGAAGCCCAGGCATCTCTCCACCACGTTCCCGCTGCTGTTAACACACCCGAGTTCGATTCCCAGCTCATGGCCAACACCGGTGGCGATTATCTGAACCGGTCCTGGGCCTCCCCTAGGTCGACTCAGCCTCAAATGAGTATCCCGGTGCGGTGTGTAGTCATCACTGGGGAGACAAAGGCGGTCCAGCGTGGTGCTGGCCACCCACCCCCTCGCGTGCCATGCCGGCCTTCATAGGTGCTCGCTAACAGCACTTGCCCCTACAGTCTGTTCAGGCTACACGGGGGACCTTTGTCTTTGTCGTCGTGTGGTGGCGGTATCTCGAGGCAGACCCTGGCAGCAGTGAGCCTTGTCGACTGACCACGACCGACCTGCCGATGAGTCCTAATGACGACAAAGCCGGCTCAGCCACAGTTTTTCTACGTCGTTACCGTGTCTATCTAAATGTGTTTTCATGTGTAGAGGTGTTACGGGAGGGCGAGCAAACACACCAGGGGTGGTTATGCCCGCACACGGAAGGATGCTAACATCCATGTCCGCACCGTTTAAGCCTGGGGGGCTGAAACGGCGCTGTGATCCCCCACGGCCCCACCCCTCGGGGGGGGGGGGGGGGGAGTTGCTATATAAGGCGGTGAGCCGGAGGGCTCGGGGTTCAGTGTTCAGCTTAAACCAGTGAAGAGAGAAGACCGGCTAGATAGGCCCTGGGACTCCCCTGGATCGCCGTCCTTCTCAGGAGCGACCAGGGCAAGCCAGTGGTGTGGCCCCGAGAGCCCAGAGCTGATGCGCTTGTAAGAGCCGGTCTGGTGACTCAGGGTGCCGTGATCCTAGCTTGACCAGAGCTGGGTCAGCTAGCCTCCCCTAGCTCTCGAGTGGAGGACCTGGGAGTAGGCTAGCCGGGTTAGAGTCACTGGGGTCTCCCTGTTAGACGGGTGAAGGGGCCGGTCTGGTGACTAAGGGTGCCGTGATCCCAGCTTGACCAGAGCTGGGTCAGCTAGCCTCCCCTAGCTCTCGAGTGGAGGACCTGGGAGTAGGCTAGCCGGGTTAGAGTCACTGGGGTCTCCCTGTTAGACGGGTGAAGGGGCCGGTCTGGTGACTAAGGGTGCCGTGATCCTAGCTTGACCAGAGCTGGGTCAGCTAGCCTCCCCTAGCTCTCGAGTGGAGGACCTGGGAGTAGGCTAGCCGGGTTAGAGTCACTGGGGTCTCCCTGTTAGACGGGTGAAGGGGCCGGTCTGGTGACTAAGGGTGCCGTGATCCCAGCTTGACCAGAGCTGGGTCAGCTAGCCTCCCCTAGCTCTCGAGTGGAGGACCTGGGAGTAGGCTAGCCGGGTTAGAGTCACTGGGGTCTCCCTGTTAGACGGGTGAAGGGGCCGGTCTGGTGACTAAGGGTGCCGTGATCCCAGCTTGACCAGAGCTGGGTCAGCTAGCCTCCCCTAGCTCTCGAGTGGAGGACCTGGGAGTAGGCTAGCCGGGTTAGAGTCACTGGGGTCTCCCTGTTAGATGGGTGAAGGGGCCGGTCTGGTGACTAAGGGTGCCGTGATCCCAGCTTGACCAGAGCTGGGTCAGCTAGCCTCCCCTAGCTCTCTAGTGGAGGACCTGGGAGTAGGCTAGCCGGGTTAGAGTCACTGGGGTCTCCCTGTTAGACGGGTGAAGGGGCCGGTCTGGTGACTAAGGGTGCCGTGATCCCAGCTTGGCCAGAGCTGGGTCAGCTAGCCTCCCCTAGCTCTCTAGTGGAGGACCTGGGAGTAGGCTAGCCGGGATAGAGATCGTGGGATCTCCCTGTTAGACGGGTGAAGGGGCCGATACCCCTTCGAGTGTTGTATACCTTGGCCTGTATTGAGTGGAACGGTTAATAAATAAGTGTGCCTCCGACTACGTCGTCCAAGTCTCTTTGAACCTACTACACATTTACGAATCTTACTCAGTCCGTTTCTCTGGCCTCTCCGTCTATGTGGCTATGAACTAGAGTCATTGTTTGAAAGGTCGCCTATTGTATATATTTGTCTCCCTTAATGACAATGTGTTTAGTAGTTATTTATTGGTTATTTGTGCTTATAGAATTTTATTGCTCGTCCGTGGAGTTAAACATGAAATCCCTAGTACATTAGTTGTACGATTCTAGTGCATTAACATACACTTGGATTCCATACATCACATTAACATACAGTTGGATTCCATACATCACATTAACATACTTCCTGGATTCCATACATCACATTAACACACACCTGAATTCCACACATCACATTAACACGCACCTGAATTCCATACATCACATTAACACACACCTGAATTCCATACATCACATTAACATACACCTGAATTCCATACATCACATTAACACACACCTGAATTCCATACATCACATTAACATACACCTGAATTCCACACATCACATTAACACACACCTGAATTCACACATCACATTAACACACACCTGAATTCATACATCACATTAACACACACCTGAATTCCATACATCACATTAACACGCACCTGGATTCCATACATCAGATTAACACACATCTGAATTCTATACATCACATTAACAGACACCTGAATTCCATACATCACATTAACACGCACCTGAATTCCATACAGCACATTAACAGACATTCGAATTCCACACATCACATTGACATGACCGAATACCATAGATCACGTGACACGGGATCAAATGCCATGCATTACATGGACATCCACTCGAATTCAATACGCAGCATTAGCATGTTATCTGATTTTTGTTTTTTACAAATATTACATAGAAAACAGGGGGAACATAGACACAGAGTAGGGAGAGAGGGGTAGAGAGAGGGGGTAGAGAGAGGGGGTAGAGAGAGGGGGTAGAGAGAGGGGGTAGAGAGAGAGGGGGGGTAGAGAGAGGGGGTAGAGAGAGAGGGGGGGTAGAGAGAGGGGGTAGAGAGAGAGGGGGGGTAGAGAGAGGGGGTAGAGAGAGAGAGGGGGTAGAGAGAGGGGGTAGAGAGAGAGGGGGGGTAGAGAGAGGGGGTAGAGAGAGGGGGTAGAGAGAGAGGGGGTAGAGAGAGAGGGGAGGGGTAAGAAGGAGCAGAGCATTTACACCATTGGAACCTCATTTGCCAGTAAAAAATATGATAATTGTTTTTTTACCCTTCTATCTGGCAACAACACTGACACCTTTTTTAAAAGGAGTCATGTTTGCATAGACCACAATACCTGCAGCCATAAGGCAAACAAAAAAACAACTGATAATATATGCACTGTCCTTGAAGTTGATTGATCCACACCCGAGACAGCTTTCCTTAGAGCCTAGTCTCACATGGGTTGGACCAGATGACGCCAAAAGGCGCATTTTGGCGTCATCTGGTCCAACACCATGTGAGACTAGGCTCTAAGGAAAGCTGTCTCGGGTGTGGACCAATCAACTTCAAGGACAGTGCATACATTATCAGAGTTATGGTTTTTGTTTGCATTATGGCTGCAGGTATTGTGGTCTATGCAAACATGACTCCTTTAAAAAAAGGTGTCAGTTTTTTTGCCAGATAGAAGGGTAAAAAAACAATTATCAAGGAGCAGAGCGTGAAATATTTCATGTAAAAAGGGGGGCGGGGGGGGGCACATAAAGCAAAGCATTGAGAAAAAAACCCCCAAAAAACTAAATAATGAACGAAGCGAAGTGCCGACTACACCGAGCATCTCCTTGCTTCCTTTGATCGTCAAAAAATAATAATTCCATAACACGTCACTGAATTCCACACATCACACACGCACACTCGTCATCAGATTCCTTACAATGCATCGGCATGCGGTGGGGTGCACAGAGGGTAACCCCCCCCCCCCGCGCGCCTTACTCACAGCGACCAAACGTCGGCCGGGGTCCCGTAGGGTTTCTGCGACAGAATCTCGGGGGCCGCGTAGGCGGGACTGCCGCACTGCGTCAGTAGCAGAGCCCCCTCGCAGGGACCCCCACCGCCACACGTGGCCAGCTCATTGCTCAAGCCGAAGTCTGGGGGGGTCGTGAGGGGGCGGAGGAAGGGGGGGGGGTAGGAGGTTGTAGAGCAATAACATCATCAGCAGTAGTAGCAGCAATATCATCAGCAGTAGTAGCAACATCATCAGCAGTAGTAGCAGCAAAATCATCAGCAGTAGTAGCAACATCATCATTAGCACTAGCAACATCATCAGCAGTAGCAGCAACATCACCATCAGCAGAAGCATCATCAGCAGTAGTAGCAATATCATCATTAGCAAAATCATCAGCAGTAGTAGTAGCAATATCATCATCAGTAACATCATCAGCAGTAGTAGTAACATCATCAGCAGTAGTAGCAACATCATCATCAGCAAAATCATCAGCAGTAGCAGCGACATCACCATCAGCAAACTCATCAGCAGTAGTAGCAACATCACCATCAGCAAACTCATCAGCAGTAGAAGCGACATCACCATCAGCAAACTCATCAGCAGTAGTAGCAATATCATCATCAGCAACAACATCATCAGCAGTAGTAGCAACATCATCATTAGCAAACTCATCAGCAGTAGTAGCAACATCATCATTAGCAAACTCATCAGCAGTAGCAGCAATATCATCATCATCAGCAGTAGTAGCAACATCATCATTAGCAAACTCATCAGCAGTAGTAGCAACATCATCATTAGCAAACTCATCAGCAGTAGTAGCAACATCATCATTAGCAAACTCATCAGCAGTAGTAGCAATATCATCATCAGCAGCAACATCATCAGCAGTAGTAGCAACATCATCATTAGCAAACTCATCAGCAGTAGTAGCAATATCATCATCAGTAGCAAACTCATCAGCAGTAGTAGCAATATCATCATCAGCAGCAACATCATCAGCAGTAGTAGCAACATCATCATTAGCAAACTCATCAGCAGTAGTAGCAATATCATCATCAGTAGCAAACTCATCAGCAGTAGTAGCAACATCATCATTAGCAAACTCATCAGCAGTAGTAGCAACATCATCATTAGCAAACTCATCAGCAGTAGTAGCAATATCATCATCAGCAGCAACATCATCAGCAGTAGCAGCAACATCATCATTAGCAAACTCATCAGCAGTAGCAGCAATATCATCATTAGCAAACTCATCAGCAGTAGTAGCAATATCATCATCAGCAGCAACATCATCAGCAGTAGTAGCAATATCATCATTAGCAAACTGATCAGCAGTAGTAGCAACATAACCATCAGCAAAATCATCAGGAGTAGTAGCAATATCACCATCATCAGCAGTAGCAGCAACATCACAATCAGCAAAATCATCAGCAGTAGTAGCAACATCACCATCAACAAAATCATCATCAGTAGTAGTAGTAGCAATATCATCATCAGTAACATCATCAGCAGTAGTAGTAACATCATCAGCAGTAGTGGCAACATCATCATTAGCAAACTCATCAGCAGTAGCAGCAACATCACCATCAGCAAAAGCATCATCAGCAGTAGTAGCAATATCATCAGAAAAATCATCAGCAGTAGCAGCAACATCACCATCAGCAAAATCATCATCAGCAGTAATAGCAATATCATCATTAGCAACATCATCAGCAGTAGTAGCAACAACATCATCAGCAGGAGCAGCAACATCATCAGCAACATCAGAAGCATTCGAAGCATCGCATTCGATGTCAACATTGGTCACCCAATGGATAGACTTGGCCCACGGCATGGTAATGTGGAATTTCCAGCACAGGCATAATGCATTGTGAAAATGCGTACCGATTATTTTGATGTTGTCATCTTCATCCAGCAACATGTTTTCAATCTTGAGATCTCTACACACACAAGACAAAGATTCCCCGAATAGACTTAACAGACTGTTAGGGCAAGTGCTGTTAGCGAGCAGCACCTATGAAGGCCGGCACGGCACAAGAGGGAGTGGGTGGCCAGAACCACGCCCGGCCGCCTTTGTCTCCCCAGTGGCGATGTTTACAGACCGCACCAGGTACTCATTTGAGGCTGAGTCGACCTAGGGGAGGCCCACGACCGATTCAAATAATCGTCACCGGTGTTGGCCGTGAGCGGGGATCGAACCCGGATCTTCAGGTTCATAGCGCAGCGTAGCGCTAACCACTACACCACCGCTCCCCATTAACACAGGGGCTCACACACACTCACTCATTTCACCTGCAACATCCCCCATCAACACACACCTCCCACTCCCCCCCACTCCCAGACTCACCTGTGAAAAGCTCTTACACTCTCTCACCCCCCCACCTCCTCACCTGTGCATGACTCACCAACCCCCAACCCCCCCCCACCTCCTCACCTGTGCATGACTCACCAACCCCCAACCCCCCCACCTCCTCACCTGTGCATCACTCACCTACAGCCAGACCCCCCCACCCCCCACCTCCTCACCTGTGCACCACTCACCAACCCTCCCCCCCCACCCTACCCACCTCCTCACCTGTGCACCACTCACCAACCCCCAACCCCCCACCTCCTCACCTGTGCACCACTCACCAACCCCCCCCCCACCCCCCACCTCCTCACCTGTGCATCACTCACCAACCCCCCCCACCCCCCACCTCCTCACCTGTGCACCACTCACCAACACCACCCCCCCCACCCCCCCACCCCCCTACCTCCTCACCTGTGCACCACTCACCACCCCCCCCCACCCCCACCCCCTCACCTGTGCACCATTCACCAACCCCCCCCACCCCCCCCCACCTACTCACCTGTGCACCACTCACCAACCCCCCACCTCCTCACCTGTGCACCACGCACCAACCCCCACCACCCCCACCCTCCTCACCTACTCACCTGTGCACCACTCACCAACTCCCCCCCACCTCCTCACCTGTGCACCACTCACCACCCCCCCCCCACCTCCTCACCTGTGCACCACTCACCAACCCCCCCCCACCTCCTCACCTGTGCACCACTCACCAACCCCCCCCACACCCCCCACCTCCTCATCTGTGCACCACTCACCAACCCCCACCCCTCCCCACCCCCTCACCTGTGCAACACTCACCAACCCCCCCACCCCCCACCCCCACCTCACCTGTACACCACTCACCAACCCCCCCACCCCCCACCCCCCACCTCCTCACCTGTGCACCGCTCACCCACCCCCCACCTCCTCACCTGTGCACCACTCACCCACCCCCCCACCTCCTCACCTGTGCACCAACCCCCAACCCCCCCCACCTCCCACCCCCTCACCTGTGCACCACGCCGCGCGCGTGCAGGTGCGCAGCCGCGGCGAGCAGCTGGCGCGCGTAGTCGCGTGCGCGCGGCTCCCCAAGGGCGCCGCCGGCGCGACCCGCGAGGCGCGAGCCGAGGTCCCCTCGGGCGCACAGCTCGAGTACGAGGTAGAGGGCCCCGGGGCTGTCGAGCGCGTGCAGGAGGCGGCAGAGGCCCACGTGGGCCCCAGCCCGGCGCTGCACCGCCGCCTCACGTCGCACGGCGCGAGACAGGTACGGGTCGCCCCGCACCCGCGCCTTGTCCAGCACCTTGATGGCCACCTGCCGTGATGGTGGTGGTGGTGGTTGTTGTTGTCGCTTAGTCGCTTAGTCGCTCATTCGCTTGTCCAGTCACTTAGTCGCTCGTCTAGTCACTCACTCAGTCACTCGTCCAATCACACAGTCACTCACTCAGTCACTCAGTCACTCGTCCAATCACCCAGTCACTCAGTCACTCACTCACTCGTCCACTCACACAGTTACTCACTCACTCGTCCAGTCACTCACTCACTCGTCCACTCACTCACTCACTCGTCCAGTCACTCAGTCACTCAGTCACTCACTCACTCGTCCACTCACTCACTCACTCGTCCAGTCACCCAGTCAATCACTCACTCACTCACTCGTCCAGTCACTCACTCACTCGTCCAGTCACCCAGTCACTCACTCACTCACTCGTCCACTCACTCACTCACTCGTCCACTCACTCACTCGTCCAGTCACCCAGTCACTCACTCACTCACTCGTCCACTCACTCACTCACTCGTCTAGTCACTCACTCACTCACTCACTCACTCGTCCAGTCACCCAGTCACTCACTCACTCGTCCACTCACTCACTCGTCCACTCACTCACTCACTCGTCCAGTCACCCCACCCAGTCACTCACTATACTCACTCGTCCACTCACTCACTCAGTCACTCACTCACTCGTCCAGTCACCCAGTCAGTGATCCAGTAATCCAACTCAATTATTTACCAAACCACTCACTCGTTAACTCACTCACCCACTCACCACCCCACTCACTCACTCTCTCCAATATACTGTCCTCACCCAGCCACCCACTCACCCATCTACCCACGCAGCCACTCACTCAGCCACCCAACGAATCCACTCGCTCACGCCCTCCACTCACCCAGCCACTCGCTCGCCCCCTCCACTCACCCAGCCACTCGCTCGTCCCCTCCACTCACCCAGCCACTCGCCCCCTCCACTCACCCAGCCACTCGCCCGCCCCCTCCACTCACCTTCTCGCCAGTGGGGCAGTGGATAGCCTCCCTCACCTTGGCGAATGCCCCCTCCCCCAGCACCCTGCCCAGGAGGTACTGCCCCACGCGCTTCGTGTGCGAGTACAGATGAGGGGCACCAGCAGCTGTAGTAGTAGCAGTTGTAGTAGCAGCAGCAGCTGTAGTAGCAGCAGCGGTAGTTCCAGCAGCGGTAGTAGCAGCAGTAGCAGCAGCAGTAGCAGCAGCAGCTGCTGGGGCAGCAGCAGCAGCTGCCGTCCTCAGAGCTTCAGGCATGAGTTGGATTCCTGTCACCATCATAATCTTATCTTAACGGGATTGATATTATAATTGGTTGTTTACCCTTCTATCTGGCAACAAAACTGACACCTTTTTTTACAAGGAGTCATGACCACAATACCTGCAGCCATAATGCAAACAAAAAAATAACTCTGATAATGTATGCACTGTCCTTGAAGTTGATTGGTCCACACCCGAGACAGCTTTCCTTAGAGCCTAGTCTCACATGGTGTTGGACCAGATGACGCCAAAAGGCGCCTTTTGGCGTCATCTGGTCCAACCCATGTGAGACTAGGCTCGAAAGAAAGCTGTCTCGGGTGTGGACCAATCAACTTCAAGGACAGTGCACATTATCAGAGTTATGTCTTTTGTTTGTATTTATGACTGCAGGTATTGCGGTTTATGCAAACATGACTCCTTGTAAAAAAGGTGTCAGTTTTGTTGCCAGATAGAAGGGTAAACAACCAATTATCATATTTTTACTGGCAAATGAGGTTCCCATAGGGATTGATATTGCGTCTTAACCAAGGCGCTTTATAAAGCATTGACAACAGCAGCAGCAGCAATCCGCGTGTGGGTGAATGTGACGGTGGAGGTGGGGTGAATGATTTAGACGAGAGGAAGCAATGGGGGGCAGATCTGTGATGATGATGGGGGCGATTGAGTGATAGCCATGCAATGATAATAATTAGTATTCTGATGGTAAAAGATGAATGGATTGAATGGGGTTAATGAGTGACAGGCTTGCAATTATTATAATAATTATGATAGTAAATTATGAATGGATTGAATGAATGGGGTTAATGGGTAATAATTCTAGATTTGAAGCTTTCGTGACTGCAAGGATTCATATTCTTAGGTTTTTTCGGTAAAGTCACGTAGGTAAAAAATTAAAATTATAATTAATAAAAGTAAAATAAAAATAAAATAATATAATATATTTTTATTTTACTTTCACTTATAACTGCTTTGCCGTGACTTATTGCCAATTATGGACTCAGACTATTGTCCTATCATCTCATAGAGTCCCTGGCACGAAATAATATGCCACACAGTGGCAGTGGGGGTTGCAAAATGCCGATGTATTACTAATAAACCCTAATGATCCGATCGAAATGAGGGATTTAGATCGGATAATTGTGGGGGGGGGGGGGGGGGGGGCACATGCCACCCCACACAAAATCGACAGGCGGTTACAAGGACAGCGTGCTTGCATAATGCGTATGCATAATGAACGTTGATTGCCATATAAATAACCCAAACGGCACTGGATACCCACCGTTATTTAGACTCATTCGCTACCCACCCCCCTCTCACGCCGCTCAAGAAGGGCTCACAAGTGACGTCATCACATGTACCCCTCTACTTATGGAACGAAACACGAGGATTTATCTACAAATCGCCTGATGAAGCTGGTCGCAATTACTGGCGAAACGTCGGACCCAGATTGTAAATGTTGTGGCTTTGCTCTCCAACACACCGGTGTTGCTGTACTAGTACACTACACTATACACTACACTATACACTAGTGCTGTACTAGTATACTGCACTATATACTACACTACTATACACTACACTACTATACACTACACTATATACTACACTATACACTACACTATATACTACACTATACAGTACACTACACTATACACTACACTACTATACACTACACTATACACTAGTGCTGTACTATTATACTACACTATACACTACACTATACACTACACTACACACTAGTGCTGTACTAGTAACGAATTGGCCACGTTCAGTTTACGTGACAACCCTAACTAGTTGGCTGTGTCGGGTGGTGGCGGGTTTAACGACACATTTATACATTTACGCGATCTAACCCAAAAAACGATATTATGGACTAATTGCCTAACGACGGGTCTCGAAAGGGCCCAATGTGCAGTATATAGTGTGGTGTATAGTAGTGTATAGTGTTTAAGTGTATAGTAGTGTAGTGTATATTAGTGTGTTGTATAGTAGTGTAGTGTATAGTAGTGTAGTGCATAGTAGTGTAATGTATAGTAGTGTATAGTAGTGTAGTGCATAGTAGTGTAGTGTATAGTAGTGTATAGTAGTGTAGTGCATAGTAGTGTAATGTATAGTAGTGTAGTATATAGTAGTGTAGTGTGTAGTAGTGTAGTGTATAGTAGTGTATAGTGTAGTGTATAGTACTGTAGTGTATAGTAATGTAGTATATAGTAGTGTAGTGTATAGTAGTGTATAGTAGTGCAGTGTATAGTACTGTAGTGTATAGTAGTGTAGTGTATAGCAGTGTATAGTAGTGCAGTGTATAGTGTAGTGTATAGTACTGTAGTGTATAGTAATGCTATGTATAGTGTAGTGTATAGTACTGTAGTGTATAGTAGTGTATTGTGAATAGTAGTGTATTGTGTATAGTAGTGTAGTGTAGTGTATAGCAGTGCAGTGTACCTGGTGCGGTGTGTAAAAACCATCGCCACTGGGGAGACAAAGGCGGCCGGGGGTGGGGTTGCCCACCCCCCCCCCCCTCTCGTGTGTCAGTGGCGGGTTTCACATGCGCTGCTACTCGCTAACAGCACTTGCCCCAACAGTCTGTTACAGGCTACACGGGGGATCTTTGTCTTTGTTTAGGTGCGAATGGCTAACAGCACTTGCCCCAACAGTCTGTTACAGGCTATACGGGGGATCTTTGTCTTTGTTTAGGTGCGAATGGCTAACAGCACTTGCCCCAACAGTCTGTTACAGGCTATACGGGGGATCTTTGTCTTTGTTTAGGTGCGAATGTCTAACAGCACTTGCCCCAACAGTCTGTTACAGGCTATACGGGGGATCTTTGTCTTTGTTTAGGTGCGAATGTCTAACAGCACTTGCCCCAACAGTCTGTTACAGGCTACACGGGGGATCTTTGAGGAGTGAGCGGTGGCGCTGTGGTTAGCGCACTGGGTTCACAAAAAACGGCCTCACGATCTCCATTCACGGCCAACATCAGTGACGATTGCCTCATCCTGCCCCACTAAATCGTGTAATCATCGCCACTGGGGAGACAAAGGCGGCCTGGCGTGGTGCTGGCCACCCACCCCCTCGTGTGCCACAATGCCGGCCTTCATGCTACTCGCTAACAGCACTTGCCCCAACAGTCTGTTACAGGCTACAAAGGGGAGGGGGGATCTTCGTCTTTGGTGTGTACGTACCTGGTCAGAGCTCACCTGTTCAGGGCTCACCTGTGGACGGTGCACCTCACCTGCCCGGAGCTGCTCAGCCACTGCCGCTCTGCACGGCTCGAATCTTCATCACAAACTCAGAGCCATCCCCAGGGCTTTAGAAATCCGCGGAAGTTCCCTTCGCATTCGCCCGTAAAACTATACCGAGTGTGTGTGTCTGTGTGTCTGTGTGTGTGTGTCTATGTGTGTGTCTGTGTGTCTCTGTGTGTGTGTCTGTGTGTGTGTGTCTGTGTGTGTCTATGTGTGTGCATGTGTGTGTGTCTGTGTGTCTCTGTGTGTGTCTGTGTGTCTCTGTGTGTGTGTGTGCTGCGCTACGAACCTGGCGACCCGAGTTCGATTCCCGCTCACGGCCAACACCAGTGACGATTATCTGAACCGTTCCCGGGCCTCCCCTAGGTCGACTCAGCCTCAAATGAGTACCTGGTGCGGTGTGGAAACATTGCCACAGGGGAGACAAAGGCGGTCGGGCGTGGTGCTGGCCACCCACCCCCTCGTGTACCGTTGCGGCCTTCATAGGTGCTCGCTAACAGCACTTGCCCCTACAGTCTGTTAAGGCTATACGGGGGATCTTTATCTTATCTCTGTGTGTGTGTGTGCGCTGCGCTACGAACCTGGCGACCCGGGTTTGATTCCCCGCTCACGGCCAACACCAGTGACGATTATCTGAACCGTTCCCGGGCCTCCCCTAGGTCGACTCAGCCTCAAATGAGTACCTGGTGCGGTGTGGAAACATTGCCACAGGGGAGACAAAGGCGGCCGGGCGTGGTGCTGGCCACCCACCCCCTCGTGTGCCGTGCTCGCTAACAGCACTTTCCCCAACAGTCTGTTAAGTCTATACGGGGATCTGTGTCTGTGTGTACAAGGTTGTGCAGTTGGTGAGCACCTATGAGGCTATACGGGGGGATCTTTGTCTGTGTGTACATGGTGCTGGCCACCCCACCCCCTCGTGTGCCGCTCCAGCCTTCGTGGGTTGCTGCTCGCTAACAGCACTTGCCCCAACAGTCTGTTAAGGCTACACGGGGGGTCTTTGTGTAGTGAGCGGTGGCGCAGTGGTTAGCGCACTGGGTTTCAAAATCGTCCACACCGTCTCCATTCACGGCCAACATCAGTGACGAATATCTCATCCCCCCACTAAACATCGATACTGGGGAGACAAAGGCGGCCGGGCGTGGTGGTGGTGGTGCTACTCGCTAACAGCACTTGCCCCAGCAGTCTGTTACAGGCTATACGGAGGAACTTTGTCTGTGTAGGTGCTACTGGTTAACAGCACTTGCCCCAGCAGTCTGCTGAAAGGCTACACAGGTGGAGGGTGGCGTAGATCTTCGTCTTTGCCATGTAGAGACCTCAAGATTGAAAAGATATTTGGCCTGGATGAAGATGACAACATCAAACTAATCGGTGCGTCTTATTTTTGAAATGCAAGTTCACTCTCCACGTTCACTCTCCACGTGCACCCCACGAGCAGTTTCCGCGGATTTCTACTCGCCATGCATTATTAAGTTTGGTGGTGGTTGACTGCGATGCTGCTGTGGGTAACGGTGTCACTTGTAACACGAGTCCCGCACGCCAGCAGTGCCAGTGGGTGGTGGTGGTGGGGGTGGTGAGGGTGGTGGTGGGGGTGGTGGGGGTGGTGGGGGTGGTGGTGGGGGTGGTGTGGGTGGTGGTGGGGGTGGTGGTAGGTGTGGTGGTGGGGGTGGTGGTGGGGGTGGTGGTAGGGGTGGTGGTGGTGGTGTGGGTGGTGGTGGTGGTGGTGGGGGTGGTGAGGGTGGTGGTGGGGGTGGTGGGGGTGGTGGGGGTGGTGGTGGGGGTGGTGTGGGTGGTGGTGGTGGTAGGTGTGGTGGTGGGGGTGGTGGTGGGGGTGGTGGTAGGGGTGGTGGTGGTGGTGTGGGTGGTGGTGGTGGTGGTGTGGGTGGTGGTGGTGGTGGGGGTGGTGGTGTGGGTGGTGGTGGGGGTGGTGGTGGTGGTGGGGGTGGTGGTGGTGGGGGTGGTGGTGGGGGTGGTGGTGGTGGGGGTGGTGGTGGTGGGGGTGGTGGTGATGGCGTTACGCTACTAAACTAAAAACTTTTTTTCGTGTTGAATTTTGGCAGATCAAGGGCCTCGCCTGAGCCACGTAGCTCTCATTCGGGAGCGACCCTGGCCATCACGAATGAAGTGGGCTCATAATCGTCGCCATCGTCATCATCATTATCGTCATCATCATTAGAGTCGTTGTGTGGGAATGTGATAGCAGCAGCCAAACCCTCTCAAGACGTGGTGATGTTGTTTGTCATTGTGGAGGGGGAAAATCCGGAGGACACGGAGAAAAATTAACGTGAACATGCAGAGAGAGAGACACACACAAACTCCAAATATACAGCAGCAGGCGCCAGGGTCGGGATCGAACCCACGACCTCCTGTACACCAGGCGAGGTAGTTAACATCTCCTAGCCACCGTGATGATGATGAGAGAGACACGCAGACTCCAAATATACAGCAGCAGGCGTCATGGTTGAGATCGAACCCACGACCTCCTGTATACCAGGCGAGGTAGTTAACATCGCCACTGGGGAGACAAAGGCGGCCGGGCGTAGAGTTGGCCAACAGCACTTGCCCCAAGAGTCTGTTAAGACTATACGGGGGGAGGGGATCTTTGTCTTTGTCATAGATGGTAGTGGTTGTGGTGGTGAGAAGTCACGTGGTTTGTGTCGATGGTGTGGCACGTTTACCGAAACGTCGGACACTGCGCGACGAACACACGCTGAGAGCTGCACCAGCACAAATTCCAAGATAGAGGTAAAGATACCCCGTATAGCCCCTAACACGCGGTTGGGGCAAGTGCGCCTGTGAAGGCCGGCACTGTGGCACACGAGGGCCAACACCACGCCCGGCCACCTTTGTCTCCCCAGTGGCGATGTTTACACACCGCACCAGGTACTCATGAGGCCGAGTCGACCTAGGGGAGGCCCAGGACCGGTTCAAATAATCGTCACTGGGTGTTGGCCGTGAGCGGGAATCGAACCCGGATCGCCGGGTGTCATCGCACAAGGCGCTAACCGCTGCACCACCGCTCCCCACACAAACCACACTCACACAATCACGCACTCACACATTCACTCACTCACGCACACACCCACGTACTCACATTCACTCACTCACGCACACACCCACGCACTCATGTACACTCACGCGCACCCACACACTCACGCACTCACACATTCACTCACGCGCACCCACACATTCACCTCACGCACACACGCACACTCACACACTCACACACACTAATTCATTTACAATCACACACTCAACCATACTCACACACGCACACTGACACACACTGACACACACACACACACTCACGCACACACACACACTGACACACTCACACACTTACCCGCACTAACCCTTATTAAGGCACAACAACCGCTATTTGTCACTAAGTGGCGGTGATGTCACCATGACGCTTGTGCCAGGCTCGGTGCATGTTGAGGCCATGTGAAGTGTCGAACGCCCGCTGGCAGGAGGTCACGGGGCAGACCCAGCAGGTGCCACGGGTCGACTGACTGAGATGACTGAGATGACTGGCTGATGCACCACCTGTGCCCCCTACTGTGCCAACTTGCTGTGCTTTAGCCACCCGGCGCTCCGCTCGTTGTTGTGAGCGTCGCTCCTCCGCCCTCCGTTGTTGCTGGAGGGCGACTGCCTCCAACTGCCCAGTAGCGTCCTTCACGAGCCTCCTTCCCACGAAGGCCGACCTTGACACCGCTGGTACCAGTCATCGGCAAGTCCACTCAGCTCCACGTCCTCCTGTACCACATCACTCCGTCTCTTCTCCAGCCCGTGCCGCGCCCGTTTAGCCCCCTCGATCCGGCCAAACACAAGCTGTTTAGGCATGCGGTGGCTGGGCATGCGGGCTACATGACCCAGCCAACGCAGCTTTGCCTGCCGCAGGAGCTCACTGATGAAACTTTGTCCAGATCTTTCAAGGATTTGTGACCTCCACACACAATCCAGCCTGGTTAAACCCAGGATGGATCGTAGGCAGGCCAGCCTAAATGTTTCTAACCGGCGAAGATGCTCCATTAGGGGGGTCCACATTTCGCAAGCGTAGAGAAGGAAGGGAATGACTGTGGCCGAGAAGACCTGAAGCTTCGTGCGGAGCGACCAGGTAGCTTCCACACAGCGTTACGCAGCCGATGAAAAGATGCCGCTCGACTGATTCGGAGCGAGACCTCTGCTGTCAAACTGGCGCATACGCACCCTCACAGCCACACACACTCAACAATCGTGTCAGTGGGGGTTTTGTTTTTATTTGTAAATAAATTAATAGCGAATGTACAGAAGTGCACGCACGCAGATTCACATTAAAATTCACTCCCTCCGCTCTTTGTGCAACTACGGTAACCCACCCCATCCCCCGACCCCCCCCCCCCCAAATACAAATCATCGCCCATGGCCATCACCAACTCTGCTTAAGAATGTGAGAACCGAGGCAAAAAGAAAACACGGACCGATACCAATACCCCTCCCCGCCACCGAGCAACGCGTCACCACGGCGCCTCGTGCCAGGCTAGGTGCACCACCGGGGAGGCCGTCGAAGGCCCCAGCTCGGCAGGAGGTCACGGGGACAGACCAGAGGTCGCAAACGGTTTTGATTCCTTACCCGTACCCGGCCGCACCAGGGTCGCAAACGGGTACCCTACCCGTACCCGGCCGGGTACGGGTAGGGTACGGGTATCGGGTACCTGATTGCGACCTCTGGGATGAAGCCATGTTGCAGGCGCGGGTGGGTTGATTCTAGGAACTTGAATTGTGAGAAGAGACAAGACGTTGGGAAATGAGTGACAATCGGTTACTCACCAGTGACTCACGGCCTACCTGTACCCGGCCGCACCAGGGTCGCAAACGGGTACCCGTACCCAGCCGGGTATCGGGTAGGGTACGGGTATCGGGTACCCGGTTGCGACCTCTGGGACAGACTCAGCAGGTGCCACGCGTTGACCCGGCTGGCTCTCGAACCCTCACTGCAGCCTGGGCGTGCGCCTCCCTCCGTCGCTGTGGTTCTCAAGAAAGGGCATCTCGCACCGGCCAAGGTGAAGAGCCACCCGGGTGAAATCGTACGGGGCAGCCGCGCACGCGCGTAGCTCAACACACCGCGAGTTGCACGTCGCGCAGAGCTCGCAACCGGGTA